TTGAAGATGAAACGTGGCTGGGTCTTTCAGCATGACAATGATCCCAAACACACCGCCCGGGCAACCAAGGAGTGGCTTCGTAAGAAGCATTTCAAGGTCCTGGAGTGGCCTAGCCAGTCTCCAGATCTCAACCCCATAGAAAATCTTTGGAGGGAGTTGAAAGTCCGTGTTGCCCAGCGACAGCCCCAAAACATCACTGCTCTAGAGGAGATCTGCATGGAGGAATGGGCCAAAATACCAGCAACAGTGTGTGAAAACCTTGTGAAGACTTACAGAAAACGTTTGACCTGTGTCATTGCCAACAAAGGGTATATAACAAAGTATTGAGAAACTTTTGTTATTGACCAAATACTTATTTTCCACCATAATTTGCAAATAAATTCATTAAAAATCCTACGATGTGATTTTCTGGATTTTTTTTCTCATTTTGTCTGTCATAGTTGACGTGTACCTATGATGAAAATTACAGGCCTCTCTCATCTTTTTAAGTGGGAGAACTTGCACAATTGGTGGCTGACTAAATACTTTTTTCCCCCACTTTTTTCAACAGTACCAGTCAAAGGTTTGGACACACCACTCATTCCAGGGTTTTTCATAATTTTTACTATTTTCTACATTGTAGAAAAATTGTGAAGACATCAAAACTATGAAATAACACATATGGAATCATGTAGTAACCAGAAAAGTGTTAAACAAATCCAAATATTATTTTATATTTGAGATTCGTCACAGTAGCCACCCTTTGCCTTGATGACAGCTTTGCACACTCTTGGCACTCTCAACCAGCTTCATCTGGAATGCTTTTCCAACAGTCTTGAAGGAGTTCCCATATATGCTGAGCACTTGTTGGCTGCTTTTCCTTCACTCTGCGGTCCAACTCATCCCAAACCATCTAAATTGGTCCTCTGTAGCTCAATTGGTAGAGCATAAAGCCTAAATAATGTATTTTTTTAGTTTGTTGAGGCTCAAATGTCGATATAATTTCAGCTTTATATCTACATTGACATACTTGTTTGACCTATTATTCAGCTTTTGACGCCCTTAAACGCTTTATGTTTATCAAGCCAGATCTGGTCATGTATGCAAAAACGGACTTTCTTGTCTTTTGTAGCTCAGACTTGCGGATTGGTACAAATACATCTTTGGGATGACTCTGAGATAATTTTCCAACCCCATAACCCTTGTACACATGGGGGGTTCAGTGTGCGCCCCCCAAAGGTCAATTTTAACCAAACTTTGATGATTTCTAAATCATGAATAGATTGACATATCACAACATAGCTGCACATGAAGGTTCACTAAGGGACACTTTTTCAATAATGTCGGCCCCACATTTCAACACAATTCAGACGAATCACAGCTGAGACGTAGACGATAGAAATGTCAAGGTAATTTCAGATAGAGCCGACATATGCAGCGTTTACCGTGAATGCAGTCTCAACTAAAGCGGGAATATTTCCTTTAAATTTCAATCACGCTGTAAAGCTGAACTTCAGCGACGCGGATTGAATAAAGCCCTTTAAACCTGCTTCATCGGCAGCAGATGGGAGAGTCAGAGTTCAGATGGTCATACAGAACTTCTATCTCGGGTCACTCAGCAGTTAACTTCAAGTGAGGCAACACCTCAAGGCACCTCACGACACAACCCCTCTGACCTAAAAATCGTATGACCTACAACTTGTAGGCCTATGTAGATGCTGTATATGAATGTGTAGCCTGGCCTATATGATGAGTATATTCAACCCTAACCCATGTAGTGATTCAGGCGTTCAGATAGTGAAAACTGCTGTGTTTTAAGCCAATCAAATATGTGCTTATTCTTATTATTAGACGTGTCTAGTAGTACAATCAAGCTGTTTCCAAAGTTTACTGATGAGTATTTTCAGCCCTAGCTGAAAGCCTATTTATTAAAAATTAAGTTCACCACTGTAAGTGTATGGGTTGTAGGCTATTCATTTTGTGCTATGCCCTAACAATGATCGAAAACACACAATCAAGTCTACATGAAAATTGCTAAAAAGCAAAAAATTGGAGGTTTTGGAATTGAAAGTCGAGACCTAATCCCAATTGAGATGTTGTGGCAGGACTTGAAACGAGCAGTTCATACTTGAAAACCCACACGTCACTGAGTTAAAGCAGTTCTGCATGGAAGAGTGGGCCAAAATTCCTCCACAGCGACGTGAGAGACTGATCAACAACTACAGGAAGCATTTGGTTGGAGTCATTGCAGCTAAAGGTGGCACAACCAGTTATTGAGTGTAAGGGGGCAATTACTTTTTCCACACAGGGGAATTGGGTGTTGCATAACTTTGTTTATGAAATAAATATGTAATTGTTGTGTTATTTGTCCACTTATGTTCCCTTTATCTAATATTAGGTTTTGGTTGAAGATCTGATAACATTCAGTATCACAAAGAAAATTAGAAAGGGGGCAAATATACACACATACATATCCTTTATTCCCCTTTATTACTTTCCAACCCTGCCACCCTTTCCCCACTTGGAGTAAACTAGTGAACAACAACGCCTAGGCCTCTACTTCCAGCCCATACCCACTATATATTCCCATGGGGGGCCAGTATAAAAAAATATATATATATATATATATATGTATTCACTAACTGTAAGTCGCTCTGGATAAGAGCGTCTGCTAAATGACTAAAATGTAAATGTAAATGTAAATATACATTTTATGGACACAGTCAATTTTACAGTAATTACATTTTGTTTGTTCTTTCTCCTGAACTTCCTCTACCCTCAACCTCTCCGATCATTTTCATGATGTCCATCCGGTTTGCTTCTATATGCTATATCTTTGTCACGCCCTGGCTCTGGGGACTCTTATATGTTGAGCCAGGGTGTGGATTGTCTATGTTGGATTTTCTAGGTTTATGTTCTAGATCGTGTGGATCTATGTTGGCCAGGGTGGTTCCCAATCAGAGGCAGCTGATTCTCGTTGTCTCTGATTGGGAACCATACTTAGGCAGCCTGTTGGCACTTTTGTATTGTGGGATCTTGTTCTGTATAGGTTTGTGTTGGTTAACCTAGGACACGTATCGTTTGGTTTGTTGTTTTGTTCGTGGTGTACTAAATAAAGTATGTACGCCTATCACGCTGCGCCTTGGTCCGTGTCTTCTCAAAACGATCGTGACAATCTTTCTAACTGTGCTCCTTCACAAAAGCTCCCAACCTACAACCCATACACTTATTATGGACACAGCGTGCCTACATTATTAGGTATCTTGTTATTGTTTGTTGTTAGATGTTATTAGTCCCATCCTTCAATTCCATTCAACACCTCCCATCTATCTTTTAACACCATCCATATAGGATTTCTATTTGCCATATATATTTCAACTGTACTGTGATGTCTTACAAAAGTTCTGAACCTTTCTATTCTCATTGTTTCTACAGATTGTGAATTGAAAATAAACATTTTTGATAATAATATTATTATGTTATTGATCGATTGACTATGACTTTTCAGATCACCCAGTAGTGCTATCTGCATGGTTAGCTCCAGGTAAATATTGCAACCCTTTAGCCATTCCTGGACCTGTGTCCAAAAACAAGCTACAAATGGACAGAACCAAAACAACTGATCTAATGATTCTGTCTCTTCGCAGCAAAATCTGCAGAACTGGGAAGATTGTATCCCCCATATAAATAACATTCTATTGGTAGCAAGAATTTTATATAATAATTTAAATTAAAAGATTCTAAGTTTTGAATCCGGTGTCGTTTTGCGTATCAGTTCATAAACACTATGCCATGGGATCGGTACGTCAAAAATCTCTTCCCAACTATTTTGCAATCTATATGGGACGGCTGTCAATCCTTTGGTCCTTAAATGAAACTAATATACCTTTTTATTTATCACAGTTTTCCTTAACCAATTATGTTCTTTAATGCAAGGCCGACAGACAAGTTCCTTACTTTCTCCTCCTTCCACTTTCCTCTTCCATTTTTGCAGTAAGGCTGCAATTATTTAGTTGTAATTTTGGGTAGAGCAGACATTTCCATATGTTTTTGTTAGCTGCATGTGCGACATAACTCCACCAGTCCTACCTATGATATCATTTACAAAGATTATACCTTTTTTAAACATTTTGTCAAAAAAAAAAGTTTTTTTGTCAATTAGTATATTTCAGTTTAACCACAATATTTGTTGCATTATTTGTTCTGTCGTTTCTGGAGGATTAATTTGAAATTGCAACCAACTTTCTATGGCTTGTTTTAGAAATAGTGATATCTGGGAGATTATTTCCTTTTCAAATAACTGAAAGTGAGTGGTTGTAATCTGAATAAAGGGAAAAGTTGTCTTCAGGACACCTTTCCCAGAGTTGTCAGAGTAAATGTAGGAACCTAAAACAGAAATGAAACCCCAATGTAAAAAAGAAAGACTGACTTGAACGATAATCCACGAGTTCAGGTTAAATCCCAAATTCCTAATGCATGGTTCACGGTAAATAAAACCTTCCATATTAACTAAGTAGCTACATCAATTTACATCTAAGTTTGAACCATAATCAGAATCTACAAGGAAAAGAGACAACCACATTCTAAAATGGATACAGTCAAACACAATACAAAAATCTGTGATCTCTTCAAAATAGCGAACAATATTAATTTAGGCATTTACTGCTGGCTGGAGCAAAGCCTGAAACATAAATAAACATGAAGTTATTATCGACCCTGATAGCTTACTTTGTTGGAATACAACAAGAGAACATAATGTATGAGAGTATGCCGAATCCTGTATTCCTACTGCAAATCCTACTGCAGAAATCACATAAAGCCTACGTGACAACAAAACTCTTTATTTACATGAATCAGATTAAAATCAAACTCACTGCACATCTACCATCACTACAATACTATTGTTTTTAAACCATTCCAATGACTTGACTAATACTTCTAAACTACTAAGTAAATCACTGCTGATAATATCTAAGAAGATATGAAAATAGAAAGAGGTATTTCTCTCCTCACTCACCTTTCTAACTCTTCTTCTTCCAAATGACGACCCCAACAACAGCAACGATGAACAGGAGAGATACCACCCCTCCAATGATGAGGTCAATGTTGGTGGCTGGTTCATCTGTAATCATCAGAACAGAGCATTCAGACTATGGTGCTAGATGATACATTTCCATCTCAAATGAACTCCAAGCAGCATCCCTGTTCATGTTGAATAAAAACAAGCAGGAGGTCAATGAGAACATGCAGTCAGAAAGGTAGTGCTACTGTGCACTCCCTAGTGCTAGCTGTGCCACTAGAGATCCTGGTTCGAGTCCAGGCTCTGTCGCAGCCGGCCGCGACCGGGAGACCCATGGGCGGTGCACAATTGGTCCAGCGTCGTCCAAGGTAGGGGAGGGTTTGGCCGGCAGGGATATGGGTTCGTTTCCCACGGGGGGCCAGTATGAAAAAAAATAAAAAAATGGTATGCATTCACTAACTGTAAGTCGCTCTGGATAAGAGCGTCTGCTAAATGACTAAAATGTAAATGTAAAAAATGTGCAGATGAGTGAATTTAGAAATTAGAAATATTGGGCACATTCAGTAGGAGGGTTGGGTATAGTGTATATTTTCTTCTCTCCCTCTTACCCCAGTTGGTCTGGATCTCAGACTCAGTCAGAACCTTGATGAAGTGCTCCTTGATACCAGCGACCTGAACCACACACTGATAGTTGTTGTTCTTCCTCTCCTCAGACGTCACTGTGAGGTGGACGCTTTTCTGGAAGGTTCCATCTAGATTAGGGAGAGTCTCTCCATGCTCCACATCTTCATGCTGTTCTTGTCCGTCTTTTTGCCAGAACACCATGACTCCACTGGGGTAGAAACCTGTAGCGTGGCAGGTCACTGGAGAGGAGGGGGTCTTCTGGAGCAGAGACACTGAGGGAGGGACTGGAGAGAGAGAGAGAGTTCAGACATTTCAGTGGGGTTGAAATGAGAGCAAACTAAAAACATCTAAATTTCTCCAAAGTATGCCATCAATTATGGTGGATTTCTGTAGATAATACAGAATCAGTAAAGATAAAGGATTTCGGTGGTATAGATGAATGTCACACAAATATGGTGCATTCTGGATAACTAACGAGATATATTTCACTGTTGTTCCAAAACCCCTCAATGTTCCTAAGTGACACATCTATAATTGTGTAGTACTGGACTTAATTCACAAATCAAAATATGTATTTATTTATGCAACATTTGAAATCTAAGGACAAAATAAAAAATGGACATTTCTGAATGTTTACCTGTCCTCATCAGAATGCTCTTCCCATAGTCCACATACTTCTTCAGCCAGTCAATGCAGGTCTGGGTGAGGTAGTGTTTCTGCTGCTCATTGTTAGCTATGTTTCTGTCCCACTTGTGTTTGCTGATGACTGCCTGTGGTGTTGGGGCGATCCATGTCTTGGTCTTCAGGTCAAATGCTACGAAATCCTCCCCATCATATCCATACTGATCAAACCCCTCTGTGACTCCAGTGTCCTCATCCCACTCACAGCCAACCATCCTCATACATGTGTGCACACCTGAGAGAGAAGGAAAGAAAGAGAGATATGATCAACACAGTTAATCATTCTGTTCTCCAGATTCCGACTGCCAGTGGGATCTCTATCATCATGTATTAGTTGTTCAACCAGACTGGAATAAAACAGAGAGATCCAGCTCAGACCTCTACAGTGTGGTGATGATGTCACACCTTCACCACAGAGACAGAGAGAGTTAATGAGGAAACTCAGAGAGTGTGGATCTATTCTACACCAGCTGATGTTGGCTTGGTTCTATCTACTGTGTTGAAGATACACATTGTGTTCAGTACAGTAGTGTTATTCTAACAAATGGATGTTGTGTAGGACTGTAGTTTTCAGTGAGGTGTGTAAATGAATAAAACACTGTTGATAAGTGAAGACTGTCCTCTAGTGATGATGTCAGAGATAAATAGAGGAAGTGAGAGAGGATCCACTGTCCAGTCAGGAACAACAGGAGAGAGAGATGGAGAGACTAACATGAGGAAGATTATCTCTCAATAATGTGAGACTACTGGAGCTGTGTGTGTGATCCCCAGATCCTGAGGGTGACAGGTGAGTGTGTGTGAGTGTGTAGAGAGTTCCCCTGAGATTCCTGATCAGCTCCAGCAGCAGAGCCCACAGGGAGTCATTGGGAGCTTTGGTCCATTAGAGCAGAGAAGACCAAAGACACATCATCCTCACTATCATCATCAACATCACTACCATCATCATCACCACCATCATCATCATCATCATGTTCTGCTGCTCTACTTCTCTCTACTGTCCAATCAGATCAGAGAGACACCCAGAGAGTCTGAGGAGACTACAGCTCTACTGTGGGGGACAGAGGAGGAGCACACAGCTGGACAGTATAGATAACACACACACACACACAGCATGAAAGCCCCACAGAGCAGACTAGAGGGTCTGACTGAGGTATTGACTGACAAATTAAACTTGCACACGTCTCTCAAGCAGAGATCAGAGAGAGATCTGACATTCACCAGCCTGCCATTCAGGTAATTGGAGAGTGACCTTACCAATGCCATACATGCATAAAGATGCTTATAGTTTGATGCCATTTACAGTAGTGGTATGGTCATAGTCATCTGTCCTTCGCACACTTAAAACAGTCCACAATTTGTTTTAAAATGCCGTGCTGGTGTCCAGGAGCAATAATTGGGACCATACATACAGTAAACATAAGCAGAGAACCAAAGGAGACCATGCTAGATGCTTTCTAGTGCGGAAATCAGCTAATGATGATGTGTGTGAAGGAAACAGAAACAGGAAGGGAGGGGCAGATCTGTACATCTCTGATATTCGAGATCTGTAACCTTAGTCAATTCAATCAATTCTCTAATCCTGATTCATTCTTGTCATTCTTGACAGTTTACACAAACACAACTGATCAGATGAGGTTAAGATGAAGGACTTACCTTCACTTTGGTTAAAACGCTGCTTTAGAACATCGACGCCGGCTTTGAAAGTCTGTTGGGAAACCAATAAAATCCATGTCTGCTTATCCCAGTACTGTGTGTCTGTCTGCTTGTTCATCCAGTCCTGTTTGGGCACCGCTCTCTGGCTGTTGCTGTCATAGTGAACCATCTGAACACCATCCACCATCCCCACAACCACAAACTCTGGGAAGTTGGGAACTTCAGAAGATGCAGTGTAGAAATACTTCAGGGAGTGAGTCACTAGAGGGGAAAAATGTAATGTTAATGTTGAATTCTGAACAGATAATCGTTTTTCAAAGCCATGTAGGCTAAACAGAGGTTTACATTTTCTCTATATTCACTTTTTAGTTTCTCCACACTACTGTTTAATAAACTGGTTGTTTATTAAATATTACTTTGAACACTTTTACTTTTTACCAAAATATGTGTTTTTGTTAAAACTGCAGGATGACATTTATAAGGAAAGTTGCTAAGACAGCATGTAACCCCTAGATATTACACATTTTGTTTATCAGACATGGAGAACCAAGAATGTTTTATTAAGAGAATATTTGGAATCAGTGTCTGATATACAGATGGAGACACTGAACACTAAGAACAGTATTGTGAAATGGAACAATGTGATATTCCCAGGAAGATATTTCTGTGGAGTCATTACCTGTGAAACATGGCATCCCTTCCAAATGTACAGCATGTATACTTTCGAAAATATATGGTCCCGTGTGGCTCAGTTGGTAGAGCATGGCGCTTGCAATGCCAGGATTTTGGGTTGGAATCCCACGGGGGACCAGTACAAAAATGTATGCACTCACTATTGTAAGTAGCTCTGGATAAGAGTGTCTGAAAAATAATGTAAATGTAAGTACATTGATAATAACTCAAGCCCAGGAGCACTCTCACTGTAAGACTGATAGATAAGATGACACTACTTTTTAGCAACTTTACATTTTAACTTTTACTGTATTCATCCCCTGATAGTAACTACCAAGTGGTTTATTCTATCTGATTCAGCGCACACTCAGCTAATGATGATGATGATGATGATGATGATGATGATGATGATGATGATGGTGTCTTTGGTCTTCTCTGCTCTAATGGACCAAAGCTCCCAGTGACTCACTGTGGGCTCTGGCATCAAAATATACTTTTATGACAGTCTATTCATGGATTATTTTAATTAAGCGGAGAAAAATCCCCAAAACACATATTTACATTTTCTTGATTTTTGTAGGAATAACACTGCAGAGTCCAGGTGCAAAACCTGTCATTGTTCACAGTCCTCTGGGGTGATACTGAGATCATATTCAGAGAGGAAGGTAAATGGTCGATTCTGTTTCTCAAAGGTGGCAGAATTGACTGTTTAGCCTCTTTTCTGAATATGTCAGTAGCACCCCAGTGTTGTTAGTGAGCAAGCTATAGGCCATGTGAGTAATACCTTTAAGAAGGTTAACACTCGCAAGGCTGCTGGGCCAGACGGAATACAAAGGTCCATTCTCAGAGCATGCGCAGACCAGCTGGCAAGTGTCTTCACTGACACTGAAACAAACATACACTACATACCCACACACACACTGTCCCCACACACACCAGATCTGGGACTATAGTTTTAACTATGATTTATGGAAAGTAACTATTTTTCCAGGGGAACAAATAGTTAGTTTGGAGGTGACTACAACTATTTGAATACAAATTACAAATTTTTCTCAGAAAGTGACTACTTTTATAAACTACTTGATAACAAATCTCAGAAAGTGACTACTTTTCTGAAACTATTGGATTGACTGCCTACAACTAATGAGACTCCTTAAAAACACACCACTTCGATACAAGTGACTTTTCATAGCAGGTTAGGAGAGCATTTTCCCTAACCCTACCCTACCATTTTCGTAACCTTACCCAATTTATTCTAACCTGCTATAATAATTATCGTAACATGCTATGAAAAAGTCATAGCTGTATGAAGTGGTGTGTTTTTTCCCCAACGAATGACAGGGCTGTATCTGGAACTACATGTTGAAGATAGAATGAATAGACCACACACACAATACTCCTATACTATTCCAATATATCCGACAGTCATATTTGATCTACACAATACGTTTCTATCTGAACATTTTGTATATATATACAGGTAGGTATAAATAAGTTGAGATGCTCAACTACTGTATGACTCTTTCAACATGCCACTGAAAAGCTTGAAAGATGCAATTAAATGTTATGATACCTGAAAATACTGCAGAGTAATTCAAAGCCATTTGCAAACAGCAAATTGGATGCTTAGCATAAATAACTTTGAACCTCTTTGTCCATCTGAGCATAAGTGTTCTTGTTTCAAACACACACTATACCATCTTTAAAAGGGATAATTTACTCAGAATACAAACTACACTGAAAAAATATATAAACACAACATGTAAAGTAATGGTCCCATGTTTCATGAGGTGAAATAAAAGATCCCAGAAATGGTCCATATGCACAAAATGATTATTTCTCTCAAATTTTGCACACACATTTGTTTACATCCCTGTTAGTGAGCATTTCTCCTTTGCCAAGATAATCCATTCACCGGACAGGTGTTGCATATCAAGAAGCTGGTTAAATGGCATGATCATTACACAGGTGCACCTTGTGCTGGGGACAATAAAAGGCCACTCTAAAATGTGCAGTTTTGTCACACAACACAATGCCACAGATGTCTCAAGCTTTGAGGGAGTGTGCAATTGGCATGCTGACTGCAGGACTGTCTCGTTTTTCAAGCGTAGGTCTTTTAAGGGAGTATGCGAGCACACTTGTTGGGTTCATCTAGCTGACTTCCAAACTGAAGCATGCGGACACCTTAAGCGACCGCTTATATTGCTTATGCCTTGAGCCGGCCCTGGCTGTTCAGACTTAATAATAGACCTCATTGTCATATAATGCCTAGAGGGAAAAGTTTGCACAAATCGTATTCAATCATAATAACGTTCCTTAAAGCTGGATTATATAACTTTTTGGGAGACCCGACAAAACTCCCATAGAAATGTGTTTTAGATTTGGTCCAGTTGGTTTCACACTGCCACATTTCAAACGCACCACAATTTGTAAACAAAGCCATATGTTCGGGCAGGTAGTTCACTTATTGGACAGAATTGGCGGGGAGTCCCACACCACAACAATCATGTATCATCAGATGCAATGTGTTGCGACCATCTAGTTATTACTTTTAATTAGGTACTCCTACCAAAAATGAACCCTCAACGAAACAGCTGAGCATTATGAGAGCTTGTCCCGACTGTGTGCGGTGTATAATGTGGTGGTTCACTATCACAGCAGTAGATGGGAGGCTAGAACCAGACGGAGAAGGCTAGCACTGATGTGTTAGTCCATCATATAGCCACCCTTGTCATTTTCCATCACGCAAGATCCGTCAGGTAATTAATCATCATCTGATGAGAATATCAAACTGCCCCATACAGCGGCCCAGGCAAATTGTGTTCTAACAATAGGAATCGGCTAAATTGGTATTGAATTATGTCTTAGGCCATTGGAAACAAAATAAAAGCATAATTTGTATGTGTACTCTCTAGCTGCTCTTTTATATAATTGTCAGCGCATTAATTCAGAGGCGTTTATCATCTTTCAACTGCCCATGTGTAATTTATTTCCTGTGATTGGTCCGTCCTTAGCTGAGCGGTGTTCTCATTAGTAATGACCCGCACTTGGGAGAGGACAGAGACCACCCTTTTTGAGCGAACCACGGTACGGTGTTTGGTGCACTCCCGAGTGCGGCCAATGTTCACACCAGTCCAAACGAACCGAACTAAAGGGGTAAACGCACCAGAATTCGAAAAACCGCAACAAGTATTGGTATGAAAGCCCCCTACGAAGCTGTAGATATGGTCTATGTGCGCTATTTCTATGCTTCACGGGCTCAAGATTAGTTTTTGCGTCATTTACTTTAGGTTTTGGTTGTATACCAGCTTCAAACAGATGAAAGTACAATATTTGTGGTTATAGAAAATATATTTCACAGCGGTTTCGATGGTACAATGATTCTCTACACTATACTTGCTTGTTTTGTCACAAACTGAAATTAGGCGAACTATTAGAATTTTTGAAAATCAGGAAATGGCGGAGCGAATTATGCATCTTTAAATTATAATTGTTTATCTGTCATTGATTCGGAAGAAAAAGTGCAAAGTTTGTAAAGGTAGAAAAGCCTAATGTGACGATAATAAGTAAACACATTAGCCCAAATAATTGTATAGGCATATTAGGCCTTACAGTAACTAAATAGTCCAGCTACGGAAAAAATACATCTCTTCCTAAATCTACAATATATAAAACGTTATACTGACCACCAAATGCTTCATGAAGGTGGCCTATTCCCAGAAACAGAAGGATAAAACCCTTCATGTTGACGTTGGTGTTTCCGTTTCTGATGTGTTGTCTCTTCCAATGTTTCCCTCTTGGGGTGTCCTGAACAAATGACCTGATAATATGGAAAAAACAGTAAGTATGAAGATAGGCTAAAACTGCTTCTCCAATAGAAATTCCCGATCACGCGAGTAGGCAATTTCATGGCGACGTTTGCTAGCTAAGCTCATGCGCAGAAATACGTCATCGGGTCTACCGGTCCTCTCACGCCGAACTGCGCACGTGCAGGCCGTCAACTCAACCGCACTCCTTCAATATAAAGTCGTTTTTGACGAAAATAATAACGTCTCAGTTTGTCACTTTAAGTAAACCCCGGTCTGGTCTACTTAGTATGCTTCGGAAGAGTTCCCGGAAGTCTCGCGATGTTGCGTCTCTGGGTTTAGAAACTCTGAATATAGTTCGCAGTTCCCACCAAGATATAATACGTTTGTATAACGTTGTTGAGCCAATGAGAATTTAGGTAGCTCAAGCATCAGTAAAATCCGGGTGGAACCAAGCAGCAGGGGTTGACTTACGTAACGAAAGGTAGCCTAAATTGTATAAATTCTGATTGTGCCTGGAGTTAGGGGGTATATATATTTTAACTACCTTTGATGGGTTAGTCATTGCAACACTACTAGATAGTGTATGTACCAGCAAGTGTTGAGTGCGTACCTGTATGTGAGGTCTATAATTGACCAACGTAAGCCTTTTCTTTTGTCTTTTTCATTGACTAGGCTATATACAGTACCAGTCAAAAGTTTGGACCTA